TCTGACTTGAATATTTTAATAATATAATTTTTTAATATTAAATCGTCGTTTTTTCCATCACAGAAGGAAATGTGTATTATACACGGGAAAAATATTAGATTTTAGCTACTTTTTTCCTTTGTATAATAAATAACTAATAATACTAATAATCACTATTTATTGGTATTAAGTGGTAATGACACCTTTGAAAAGTGTTCCATAAGAATGGTAAACAGAAGTCTGGAGAATTAAAATCAGCTGAAACAATGTTAAGTTATTAAGATTAACTTGGAAACAAATTTGCCAAGAACCAAATTTTATGTGACAACGTTATCTTATTCAACATCGCAGACGTGTTTCATTTTCGCAGTCTTATCTTACCAGATGTTTCCCAATCCACCCTAGTTCAATATTTTCCGTAACGAAAATCACCCCTGCCCCCTCCACTAAATTTAGTTAGCGATCTGAGACCACTTAAAGTCTTAGACTATAATGCTGTTAGATCCATCGATAGGGTGACGGAATTTTAAGTAGAATTAACAGGTCGTTAGAAATAACTTTGCTTTTACCACCCTCCGTCTTTCCTTCCTCGATATCGTCGGGGGAAGTTTATTGTGAGGTCCATCGGGAATTCTCGATGGAGAGTTTCAACATGCTAGAAACGAAAGACAACTAGTACTCCTGATTAGCGTTTCTTTTACCGGGTATTTCAAATTCGGGGTGGAAAATTTGTGGTTGGGGCCTGCAAATGTTGCTTGCATATCTGGCTTGACGTCCCTCCTTTCCCCTGTGTCCTCCTATAGTACCTCAGTATCCATATGTGTTCAGCCTTTAATCCATCGTGAAGGTTGATGTATAACAAAAACATCAGTGAAAGACGTTTTGTTTTTCAAAAATATGTGATCCCGGTAGTATTATCGACCTGTAGGGTTCTGGGTATCCTAGAGATTAGCTCATTGGGCTGCTAGTAAGTTGGCTCGAATGATCGCGGGTTCGAATCTTCGCCTCAGAAGTTGATTTCGAGCAAACGATGTTGTGCTGTTTATCTTACTCGGCAGATCTATGCAAGACAAACATGGGGCCACTGCATCACTGGAACTGGTTTAGTCAATAATCAGTTACGAGATACCACTTGGTTGGCAAAAATGGTCAAAGGCGAAATAGTTGCGAAGCCGTCAGGTGCTGTCAGTAGTGCTACTACTACTAACCCACTTTTCAGACACAGTATTTCGTTCAGTACTTAGGGCTGCGACTCCATCAACTACCCAGGAACGCGCGATACCGTTTACCTGTGGATGGTCCGATCCGAATTCAGCAAGGCCAGCGGTGGCTTAACTGAAGTCATCGAGGTCGTCAACAACGCGCAATGATGTAATGATCCCAGAATTTAAGACGGCTGTTCAGATATCATACAACATATACAATAGTCAGATTCGGTCACCAGCCGTAAGATTTTTTATGACCGGCGAATAGTAAACATATCATAATTTCAGCTTTAAGTTTAACAATGATGTTGTTCACTAATGCTCATTCTACTTTCACTCTACGGTCTTATATCGAGGTACAAGGATTTTCATACGCGTCAAAAATAAATATACCAGCGTTGTACAAATGTTGACTTGGAGACTATTCATGCTACATATTTAGAGTCCATTTGCCCAGAATTGCGTGAAACGAACAGAGTCAATCTACTCGATGCCACTTTTTTAATAAAATGCAAGCAGATTTTTGAGGTTTGTGGATATAATTCAAAAAATAGGAAGCAGTATCTATTTTCTATGAAATGTATACTGACGGCCACCAAACACCTGAAATAAAAAATAGCGTCAATTTTTTTCTCAAATATTTTATTATTGAATTTTGGATAAAGTTATGTGATAACATAACACCAATGTCCGACACCTTTGTGCTGTGTTAGCCATATTTTCTTATACATTCATTCTTTTTTTAGGTGAGTTCGAACGCATTATTCTTGGAAGATTGGTGAGTATGTACATGTTTTTGGAGTCCCTTGTTACTATTTTTTTTTTGGAAGTGACATTGAAATGAAATATGTCTGAGCTTGCGCCTGGTGTTTTTGCGACGAGGTGTGTCTTTTTACTAGCTTCTATCCGCGGAACGTGGATGACGCGCCAGTAGTAAAGTAACCAAATTTGCAAAATGCAAGTTAGGTGTGAATTTACTAATTCTACCAAAGATACAAAACGTGACCGGGAGTTTAAAGGATTACTTAAAAACAATATGAACAACCAAACGAAGTCGCATGTACCAGCTAGTGCAAGATAGATCACCTGTATCGCTTGACGGTCATAGGTTGAGTGGGGCGATTGCAGGCGGTTCTGTAGCCGGCTTGACGCTGGCAGTGGAGATTTCGGTACTTACCACGACAGCTGACTGCAACATCGACTATGAGTTCTCGGATAAAACCATGCCTATAAACTTCTTCGAGTGATGCTCGACGTAATGCTGACAGAATAGACATGCATTTACATCTATATGTGTTTTATTTCACACTATAGATACACTGACTTAGTATGTTACCACCAGTATTACGCAGTCGGTCATCATAGGTAGAATTAATGGCAACAATGCCTGGATGATGTCAGCTAATGGAGAAATTTGACTTGTGACTTTACTTCGTACTCTTCGAAATCAGACAACATTAGAACCGGTAACACCAAGGATTAATGTATTTCCACCAGGTAACTGTCGGTCCTGCCATGTACACTGCCTATGATACCCTAGCTGTGTAATACTGATTGTAACATACTGAATATGTATTGTTGTTATTCCGGTGAATCTGCTCTTTCTATCAAACTAGCTTTTTGGTGTACCAGTATATGGTAAAATCTAAGGCTTTATTATTTTTGAGCTATATCTACGAGTATATACCAGAATGGAATGTTATCTTCAAATGAGCACGGGCGAATAGCAAAAACGTCCGTATTTCGTAACTTAAAAGTGTCATTATATAGATTTTCTATGGCATTATGTAGGTTTTTTTAACATTATGTAGGTTTTGCTATGTCACCTTTGAACTAGCTGATATTCACTTTATGCTCACTTGTTGTAGGCGCGAAATGAACTAGCAGCGCACTAGAGGCTACCTAGTGCACAATCATATAGGTTTTTTTCGTAATAACTCTGCCGTTACTTGCAGTTCATCAAAACAACTCTTGTTGTGCCTGATACAGAATTTCATGTCACTAGTTGAACGTTTCCATATATATATATATATATATATGTTGATCCTTTCATTGCAGATAAAAAGCCTAAATCATAAACAACCAGAAATTATTGTGGTGATATTTATCAGGAGCTAAGGGCATAGACTAAGACTTGGAAGTCGTCCCGAAAGACTAGTAGGTCGAAAGGGGTAAAATCCATAAAAAGCTATAACGGGACGTGGTTCAGTGGCCAAAAATATTTTCGCAGCTTATCCCGGACACAGAAACAAAAATACAAAGCAGCAAGGGCATTATGAAAGCGCTGGAACAGCGATTACGGCAGGCGGCATCGGGTCGGTGAGACTCTACAGTACATCGGATTTACCGCAGGATTACATTCCGAATATATTACACGCGGAGGATTTTTCCAAAACACTCTTCTGTCGTATTTGTCTTTGAAATATTATTTTTTGGGCTGCTAATGCTCGTTTTAAGCAAATCCCCACAGATTATTCGGTGTTAAACTATGTTTTGTTTGTTTTGCAACAGGGCATTTGGTGTAACTTCATCATCTAGGTATATACAGTTATGTGCTGAGATTATACAATTGAATAACGTATTTTACCTAAAGATATCCATTTACTACATTCCGGTACTACAGAAGGCGTCGGAAAAATTCCAGCGCCATCTGTGAGACAGTAGCAGAACACAAAAATGAATTAAAAAATCAACTTTAACAAGAATTGGAGTGTTTGGGTCTTGTGTTGTTTCATAAATGACGAAAGGACCTTGAATACCCGTTTGGAGCGAATATAAAGCCTATTTAATTAACGTATTACACCTGAAGATACCCAATTGAAGTAGGCACTACAGAGGCATCAAAAGGGAATCTACAAAATTCTAGCGCCACCTATGAGGCAGTAACAGAACCATACACTCAAACTCTTTTCTAAGTCCATATTTGTGCTTAGCTACTGTGTCATAGATGTCGCTAGAATTTAGTTTAGTTTCCCTGAAATGCTTTATATGTGAGTACTTTGAATATTCACACACGGATTTGATGTGATGTTAAAATTTCTCAAAGGAACCCTAAGTTAATCTTCTGGATACCACTTGAGAGAATCTTTCTAGCTCAAGTCTGCATTTCAATTTGCTAACGCTCCCTTTATGATATTCGCCGATTTTACGCATAGCATGAATACTTGAGGTGATTCCTGTGGCAGCTGTAAACAGGTATGGTTGCAATTATTAATATACAGGTAGACCTGACATTGTTGCTATTTCTAAGCTGACGTGCTAAAAACTATTTCAATCAAATTATGTAGCTTCTGCCATAACTTTTGGGACTACCCAAGTAGGCTTTCTCTATAAAGAAATTTTAAATAGGTTGTATTTCTCGCGCGTCTGGTGTGTCACATAGAGAACAGAAAGTTCATTGACTTGGCCACCCTATACCCCACAGCCCTTGAAATGAATCTGCCCTCATGGAGCAGCTCTGCACGTCCGCTCCAGCTATATTTATTTTTCAATAACGCTAAAGGTCGCCTAGCGCCGCACGGAATTCATAAAAAGATTAATACGAGACAAAGTTGGCTAGGATGGGGTGTGGAGGTGCCTTACCGGTCGGTAGCGGTAGCAAGAAACCCTTAATAAAAGTTTGTCTGAGAAAGTTTTTTCCTTTGCGCTGTCATCTGGTCCGTGAAACGTCTTTTTCCTTCCTCCATCAGATGCTGAAGTTCAGACGACGTGCCAGTAAAGACGCGACGGAGTTTCCCTCAAACTTCGCTGGACGGTAATGGAGTGAGACGGAGGACTCACTTTGAGAATGTTTGATTAAATTATGACTGCTTCTAGATTGGAGATCTGGCACTAAAGGGTACAAGATCATAGGTCTGCATCGTAGGCACAAAAATGGAATAGTATGGATTCTCAGTATCACTTCCACGATAATGAATACGTTTTAGTACATCCAAAAACGAATTAATGAACTATCTCTCCCATTGCTTCTCAATGAAAACCCACAAATTTCAAGTTGAAGTTTTCTTTTAGCGGTGAATTCGTGGAAGGATAAAAGCAAAAATGCATCCGTTTGGTCAACCGAAACCGTTTGACAATCGTTTCTAGAACATGGCTATTACTTTGATGCCAGGGATGTCTTGATTAAATTATAAATCTAAGGATATATGGTCAAAAAGTTCGGGTGCATCGGGTAGATACGGACTCACATAATGGGTAGTTTTGCAATCAGAAGCTTAAAAGCATTCTATTTATGAAACATCCTTTCCTGTCTTCAATTTCAGTCGAATAGCGTCTTGGGTATATCGGCAGCGGTATTGCGTATATTGAAAACCGACATTTTGCCGTTTTTTTTTACATTTCGTAGGTTTTTGGTGACATAATGCAGGTTTTTCTACAAGCTGTTGTACACCTATTGTGAACTCGTTTTGTAGCTGTACGTGTTGCGTAAACATTAGCGAACAGGAAATATACAAGGTGACTTGTAATGTCACGTATTCCTGTTAAGGGGTGATAGATTAGGTCAAAAGCAACCGATTTTATCCTATCATGTCTTATCCAAAAGTTAACTATTTTTCAGTTATATATACGTATATATTATGAATTTAAGTTTTTTATTTTTTATTCCGATTTCAGACGGTTAAAATTGAAATACAAAAAACTGCATGCTTGATTTTGAGTTTTTTGTTATCGTCGCAATGCAGACATTCCAATAGCTCATAATAAGTAATAAAATGTTGAAAAGCTACAAACGTTTTAAAATTTTGCTTTTTAAGTGAATCATTTTATTTTTTTTACTAACTTATTCGATAAAAAATGCAATTTTCTGTAAAAAATCTCCTAGTAATGAAATGTGCAAATTATGTAAATAATATCTCTATCTGACAAGCTTTTATTTGAGGTATTAGGCGTTCAATTATCTGATGTACATGCAGAGAAAGAACAATGACACCCACAGCGGCTGGAATTTGTATTACCTGTTTGAACAAGTCGCTACTGTCCTCAAGGGACTCGCATGCCATGATTGTTTTATGGCATCGGCTCGACGAGGAAGTGAGCGAGAAGAGCTGACTTAGTGGAGGTGTGAGAGAGAGAGAGAGCTATTATTATTCATCATCATCATTGTAGTTACGCCATCGCCGCACGTCGAGTGAGAATTAGGTTTAGTTGGTATCAACTACTGCGTACGCGCACACGTTTTATGCACGATTATTATTTTCGAGTTTCCCAGTTCATTTCGAGTGGATTCTTTATCATCATGGCAGACGCAGAAGATCCGCCAGGACCTCGCCTTAGCGAGCACGGGCAAACTTTTACAAATGAAGAATACGCAGACATAATGTTCTGTTATGGACTTTGTAACGGCGATTCTGCAGCTGCCCGCCGTGAATATCGGCAACGTTTCCCGAATCGCCGAACACCTCATGTTACTGTGTTTGACTCTGTGTATCGGCGCATCCGCCAAACCGGACGTGTTCAAAGGCAACATAGTGATGCTGGTCGACCCAGAGTCTATCCTCCTGAAGATGAAGAGGAAATCTTTCGTGTGTTTCAGGAAGACCGTACTACGTCTACGCGCATTGTGGCTGCTCAGTTGGGTATATCACAATACAAAGTATGGTTTACTGTGCATACTGCAAGATTATACCCTTATCACTATACGCCTGTGCATGTGATTGAAGAGGGCGATCCTGCAAGATGATTTCTGCAGGTACATGTTACATGCAGATACAGAAGATCCAAACTATTTTATGAAAATTCTGTGGACCGATGGATCGAAGTTTGATAAGGACGGGATCACTAACTACCATAATGTTCATTACTGGCCTGACAAAGAAGCTTTAAACCACCGAAAAATAAGACCGACGGGGTCTCAAAGCCGGTATTCAGTCAATGTGTGGATGGGCATCATTGATGGATATTTAATTGGACCTCATTTTCTGCCCGCCAATTTAAATGGAGAAGTGTATGAAGAGTTCTTGAAAAATCACTTGTTTCCATTAATAGAAGACGTCCCAATGGCCCAGCTTGATGGTTGTCCAGCTCATTATTCGAGAATAGTTAGAAACTGGCTGGACGAAAATTGTCCAGAAAGATGGATCGGCCGTGGAGAACCAGTCGCCTGGCCTCCACGATCTCCTGACCTGAATCCATTATATTTCTTTGTGTGGGGATTTCTAAAAGAAACTTTTTTGGCCCATTCTTCTTACCGGGACGACTTGACGGACAGACTTACCTCAATTTTATTTAACAACAGTTGTCTTTCGTAATTATTTACAAGCTGTTGTTTATCCAAACCGTTGGATTGGCCACGGTTGGCCCCAAGAATGGCCACCAAGGTTCTCAGACCTCAACAGTTTAGATTTCTTTTTGTGGGGCTATCTTGAGACACTAGTGTACACAAGTCCCATTAACACTGTAGAGGAATTCATAGAAAGAATAGTTGCAGCTTGTGATAGAATAAAAAACCCTCCAGGGATACTTCAACGAGTGCAGGGCGGAAGCATGCATACTAAGTGAAGTGGACCATTTTCAACATTTTTTGTAATCATTTCGTTGGTTTTAATGTTATGTTTATGTTGTCAGTTGTTGTTGTTCATTACATCTAATGTGTGTAATTTTTCCAATTAAATTGATAATAATCGAGTCGCACATCGAATTTGTGAACCTCAATACCTGCAGGCGGAACTGGATCATGTTAGCATGGCTTTACCAGCAAACGGCTATCGCAGGGAACAAATAGAACAGGTTTCACGGCAAGAAAAGCAGACCGCCGACAGGAGACAAGGAACCACCTGCGGGAGTCTCCTTCCTACCATACATTAAAGGCATCACGGATAGAATAGGAAGGTTGCTGCAGAAACACAACGTGAAAACCATCTACAAGCTGACAAATAAGATCCAGCAACTCCTAACATCAGTAAAGGACCCTAGGGACCCCCTAAGCGCTGCCGGCTTATACAGAATACCGTGTTCCTGTGGTAAAGTTTACGTAGGCACCACTAAACGTAGCTTCCAAACACGCATCAAGGAGCATGAAAGAAACTGTCGACTGGGACAAACTGATAAATCAGCGGTGGTTGAACACGCACTTCAAGACCGCCAAAATGTTTTGTTCGACCAAACTGAAGTCCTATCAACATCCACCCACTACTCAGCCCGAATGTACAGAGAAGCAATTGAAATCTATAAACGCAATGATAATTTCAATAGAAAAGAAGAAGGTCTTGCTTTAAATAAAACGTGGTACCAAATTCTAAAAAAACACAGTACAAAGGCCACGTCACTCAATAGACTCAGAGTACCCCCACCAGACAACTCAGTCCTCAGTCCGTCGATCGCCTATAAAACCGCACGCTCATCCAGTTAACCGATCAGTCGACCCGCCAAGCCGAGCACTTCGCTCTTGTGTCAGCGCCACTGAAGATGGTTACCGCAGATGTAGCCAAAAGCTCTGGACCAAATCCAACCTGACCATGGCTCAACAGCCCGAAAAACCTAAATTACAATTATTAGATGTACCACCCTTTTGTAGTAGGTAAAGGTATTGACTTTATATTCTAGGGTTATAAAGTACTCGTTAGCAGCTTCAAAATCATGTGCCACAAGACCCCCGTTATCATATAACTTTTTTTCCAAGATGGCTCCCAGCGGCCATCTTGACATTTTCATCTGTCAATTTTACTCTAAAATATGGTATCGATGCATCAGTTTCATTACCTCAAGTTTTATTTTTTTGAATTGATCCGTTCAAAAAAATGAAGGGGAGAGGACATTAAAGAAAAGTATATCTCACTGAAAACTAACGAAAACTGAAATCATTTCCCATATTAACCTGTCAAAAAATCCCTACCTTCAGTATAAGCAAAATGCCCCTAGAATTTCGCAACGGAGGAATAATTAGGAAAGTTGGTAATTATTTCTCTGGTTGTGGCCGAGTCATGTTGAGGGGAAAATAATGTCTGTGTCTATCTATCTGGCTGTCCCATCAGTCAATTTTACGACTTGCTCACGAGGCATGGCCTGCGACAGGAAAATGGAGTTGTTTGGAACACTTCAATGGAAATGTGCGAATATGTTACTCTGCTTATGCAGAGTTCTAATAGATACGTGAAGCCTATGTTGATTGTTTAAAGTTTTTGTCTGGATATAGATGACCGCATGCTTCTTTTAAACTGTATTTAATGGATATTGAACATACGATTTTTTCATAATTTTCTTTAAAAGGACGCTTTTACATTTATCTCAGGTTGTCATCAATTCAAAGAGGATTATATTCGGCATTAAGCCTCTCTTAGAAAAAGGTTGATGATGAACATGTATAAGAAAGAAACTAAATGGATCATGTCAGTCAAACATACACAGTCCCCACGGATTTGACAACATATCGACAGAACCGATCACCCAGCACGGGTTGGATACACGCATTATCATTCACTTACCCTTCAGCATTTGAGCAGACGGACGAACGCTGGTTGATGTTGTCCAGCTCATGTATATCTAAAACATATCTATATCATTCAGTTCAATTCAATCGCACGTGGAAATCTATGAAATATGTCTAAAAGGTCCGTAGAATTACTGTATAAATTGCTATCACCAAAAAATTGTTACTCTTCCCCACCCCCAACAATCCCCAACATCCAATTCTTAACCCCTGCAAAAATTGTCCCGGAAATAATTAGGATCCTTGGAAACGTCAAAAAATGACTTTGATATTTTTCGTTTTTGATTCTTTTCTCCGACGCCACTGGACCGTTTTGAAAAACCGTAAAGTCTTTTTGCTCTTGGCATAGTAGTGACTTTGTGTGAAAATTCCATCAAAATCCGAGCAGTATTTCTCAAGTTATAGACGGG